ACTTTTGCCAAAGAAAAACTATCATGGGTTCTGGGTATAAGAGACCCTATCCGGGAATATTTTGAAGAAATTCATTCTCTGGATAAAAAGGGAAAACTATTTAATGGAAGAAAATGACATAGATATGCTTGAAAAATTATGCAGATCCAGTGGTTAGTAGCTTACAATAATTCACTTTGCAATACATCATTCTTCAAGACTCTCTGCAGATGGTATTTTGCAGGGGCTGTTCCTACCCGCTTTATGCCCCCTGTGTTCTAAAGGGATGATTTGGAGGGCCCTTTTCTAAAAACAGAAACAAATGGAACTTGAATCAAGAGGGCCAACATGTTAAGCACACTAGATCCACAAATGCTATTATGAAAACCAGACCCTCAAGACATGCCCTCTGTTGTTAAAGCCAAATGCAGCAACTCACCAGTGATTGCAATTTCACTATTAAAATACTCCAAAAAGGAACAGCTTACTAATAATCTAAGTAATTGAATACTTAAGACATTAATTTCTATGTTAGGGAAAGGTTTTCATTTGTCATCAGAGATGAGCATAAATCATCAGGGAATCTAACTCCTAAGCCGTATGACCAACGTGACCATACTAACAAACTGTTTATGTAAATCTGACTAACATTCTCCTTTTGGAAAACTTTAGAATGATGAATACCGTTGAAAAGATGTTAAGTGGGAATTAAGCACACTCAGAACAACAAAATTGAAGGAACTTCTGATAAACTGGAAGGAATACAGACATAGGTCACTGTCTAATTGATCTATAAGACACTTAACTCCATCAAATAGACCATCTGAAAGGAGAGCATGGAAAGGAGTTTACTTTCACCACATTCTAATGCTGGGCTATTAAACTTTGGAAGCCCCAGGGGCCACAATGATACTTCACAGCACATGCCAAGAGCCGCAATTTAAGTGTGGTTGCACATGCATGCAAATATATATGCAAATAGCTTCCTTCACACGGACAGCCATGAATACAAAGATTAAGGCTAAACTATATAACATGCAGGCCCCATTTAAGTCAGTTCTGCTGATATTAATAAAATGCAAAATCTATCCGATTTCCACCCATGACAGCACTTTTAATGAGCAATGACAGTCCAGGAATTTAACTACTAAAATGCATATCAACAGAACACCATTATATTGACTACTTTTTTGTTTTGGCTCAACATGTGGGCCGCATGTTGAGCCCCGTGTAAACCCCAACCACAACACAGGCCACAAACAAACAGACTGCGTATGGCCCACGAGCCACTTGTTGAGTACTCCTGTTCTAATGGGAAAAATCTTCTTGGCAACTATAAAGAATACCAAAAAGCAGCACTGAATCACACAACATACCCATTCTAATTTTCTGAGCGTAGTCTTTGAAGGAGACAGGTTTTTACTTCAAGATAAACCTGATGAAGTAGCCATGACATATGAAAATATCTAGTATCCAGCAATGTGACAAAGCTAAAAACGTAAAAGTCTTCAAAAAATTAAGTTCCTTAGTAGAAGTTATACATTCCTTCACTAAGGCACTCAGAAGGATGAATGGTTCTGAAGAAATCTGAGCCCTTCCTAAGGCTAGTCATAACCAGGATTTCCCTGTCTCATGGCTTTCTGGAGCCAGTGGATATTTTAGAACAGACAAGAAAGGCCACTTGCATAATCAATGCAGTTTACAAGTCCACCCCCCCTCCCCCCCCAAACAAACAAACCACCCGAATCAAAACTCTGCAGACTAATCCCTCCAAAAAGAATTTCTCACTCAGGCTCATCTATCTTCACGTCATCAGCATCTGCCACGTCCGCATGACAACACTGCCTTCAGGAAAGTTCTTTTCTGCTTACAAAACAAAAAGATTCAGTTTTGAAGAAAAAGAGCTAAATTAACCATCACCACAAAATCAGAACTGAGCTTCTAAAGAAGGCCCCATAAATCACCACCACACAACAGTTCACCTTCCTCCATGTCACCAGTCTTTGCACAGAGAAACATGTTCTGAAAAGGTAGAAAATCTCGAGGCCATCAAGATGCCCAAATAAAAGAACAAACAGAGATACAACCATGATTATCTCCACATGAGAAAGAAAACATATATGCAATACAGATGATAAGGCAAAAACAATGCAGATAAATACAAGGAGCGCTGGTGCAGCCAGTTAATAATCACCATTTTGTCCAATAAAGATTGCATCCCTCACCATGGGTATCATGGTAGGTTAGAGTAGAGTACCATAATAGTACTCATTGTTGAGACCATCTGGAAAAATTAGCACCGAACAGCACCTTAAATAAACCCCACTCAAAGAGTGAAATAGCTGCTCCATTTACAGCATGACCAATTTGTTATTGCGATTTCTATGGCTTTGCTCACAGTGGTGAGGAGGGAAGAGGCAGTATGGGACCATTTGCAGTTCCGCAGAGTACAGGGAATAAGGAAGGTTTCCATTCCCCCACAACTAAGTATCAGTTTCCTAAACATAACAAAGGAAGAGGGAACAAGCAAATGGTAATACAGCTTTAAAGGCAATTCTGGGCCAAGAAAACATCACATTAGAGTGAAATGTCTACCTCTTAATATAGCACTCATGTGAATATAAAGTAGAAACACTTTTTATGAAAAACAGTGAACAAAAATTCACCAAAGACTAAAAAATAAGTCCTAAGTTCTTTGGCAGGCTAGACATCTCCCACCTGCTGGAGATAGAAAAGGAATTGAAAATGTTCAAGCCAGCCACCCCTTTGTGAGTGGGAAATGACAGCACACAGCATTGCCTGATTCCTGTCTTCATCTGATGGTAGGAGGCCTTGTGCAAAAGGGAATTATTGAAAAAACATTAAATAGATATATTTATATTCGGGCAAGAGGCTAGCTGGAGGAGCTGTTATTACATTAGGAGGTTATTAGGTACAGAATCCTTATTTCCCTGTTAGGAAGGAATGATCAGCTGGGTGAAGGGAAAGCCCATTATTGCTCACATACATGAATCAGGGAAAGAATTTTCACTGTTTAAAGCAGCAAAGAGAAGGATTGGGGGGAAGCTTCTCCATTCCTCTGGTGTTTCCCTGGGATTGTGAGGGGACACGAATCCCTATTACTGCAATTACTTCTAGGGTAGTCAGATAAGGATAATTGCAGAAGAGACAGAGGGAGAATTAGGAGTAAAACACCTCACTGCTCTGGGAACCTAGCAAATGAAAATCCACCTCATTAATTCACATTAGGGAGGGAAGAAATGCAGAGAAGGCCCTTCCTCATTACACTGAAGCAGAAGAGAGAAAAAAAAAGCAAGAGAAAATCATTCCTGTTATCCCAAACTGAAGGAAAGGCTCAGGAGAAGGATATGAAGGACCCCTCACCCCCATTGTGACACAAAAAGGGTGCAGGATACAGGAAAGCAGGATGTGCAGGCTTCTCGTTACCACAACGGGAATGAGGGAAACAAAAGGGAGGAGGGGGAGGAGTTTTCCTTACACGGCAGAGGCTGAGCCTGTGAATTAGGCAAAAAGAATACGAAGAGGGATGCTTCCCTCCTCCATCTCCATGTGAGTGCAATTCCTCTCCGTTCCCATTACACAGAGGAAGGGGACGCGCGCAGACAGGATGTGCAAGGGGAAAAAACCACAACGGGAATGAGGGAAACAAAAGGGAGGAGGGGGAGGAGTTTTCCTTACACGGCAGAGGCTGAGCCTGTGAATTAGGCAAAAAGAATACGAAGAGGGATGCTTCCCTCCTCCATCTCCATGTGAGTGCAATTCCTCTCCGTTCCCATTACACAGAGGAAGGGGACGCGCGCAGACAGGATGTGCAAGGGGAAAAAATCCCCATT